AAATTCAAGTGGGAAAACTTAAGCACATTTCACTGTTTACTCGCAAGTTAAATTTCACTTCAGGGAACCTTCTTGCAAATCCTTTTAATGGATTACTGAGTTAAAGGAAGGAGGAGAACTTGTTAGGAGCCTAAAGTTGGCTAAATTTAGATATGCAAATGAACCCATAGGGTGTGCTTATACTCTATAGGCTGTCTGTGCAATTTCTCTCTTTCTCCTCTTAGTACTCCACCCTTAATTAAAAGACTAATTTAGTTACAGGGTCAAATTTCCTGCCTTGACCTAGCTTTGAGTCTGCTTTGAGAGGGGTAGAAGCTTGTATACCACAGAGAAGTGGTAATTAGTGCACTGTAATTAAAGGATGAATGATACTAGCAAATGGAGGTGGGTTTTTCCAGTCTGCTGAGTGGGAAAACATGGAATAAATTAAAGAGGATTTTCTAAGCATTTTATCTCCTCGAAATGGGTTCTCCATTTCTTCTAGAAATGGCATGTAGTTCTGGGATGAGACCCAAACGAAATTACTGCAATTTTGGGTTGGATTAGATACTGGAGAAACTCACACAGACTCACTCACCAAGAGCGGCCCTTGGAACAAATTAGTCCCATTTGTAATGAGATAAAAAGCTCCCTTAGCCACTCACAGGGAAAATTCTAGCAAATGTAATACATTATTTTATAATCAAAATATATTGGAAATAGAAATACAAACACAACTGTCAGTTTTACTCTTAAGTCAAATTGTCTGGTTCAACAACAAAGGTTTGTGTGTATGTGTGTCTGTGTGTGTCTGTATGTGTTTAAGTAGCAGAGTACCAGTCAATTTACTTATGCAATGACAATTTAGATGTACTAGTTAACAAAAGAAACAGAATAGAATAGTAAAAACTGATCAGAAACACAAGTGTCAATATAGGTTACATCTCTGAATTTTTTCCCTGAGTTGAATGTCTCCGTTATTCTAATCACTAATCTCTGCTAACAACTATTTTTTTGTTCTATCAAATCTTTGATCATCATAAGGTTCCAAGGTTGACATAATTTTGACTCTACCTCATTGCATTCATTTATTGCCTTCTAAGTAAACTAAATGTTCCCTTTGCTCCTAAATGCTAAAAGTAAAATTTTGAAGACTGGCTAAGTTTGAAGTTCAATGCAGTCTAATAGCTTTCTAGAGCTTAATATAACACCAATTTCAGAATTTATTTTAGAACAGTAAGTGCCCTGATCACCATCAGGACTGATTCCCAAGTGCAGAGCCAGGAGTAAGCCCTGAACACCACTGGGTGGGGTCTCCAAACAAAAAAAACGAAAGAGCAGTAGTTTCAATCTATAAGTGTTATATTGATATTCCTCAGGCTTCTCAGTTCACAAAAACCATGTGATGTATATTGTTACGCTTTTCAGTTGTATTGCCCAGGGAGGTACCTCGCACTGCTTCTAACAGTTATCTTTCTTGCATATAGAAAGTGAAGTAAGATCTGCTGTAAAAACTTAGAGAGTTTCAAACCAGTTAACTGAACATCTTTACTAGTCAGTGGTACAAAAAGAAAAAAAAAAACACTTCAATCTTCAATGTTTAGCAAAGGTGAACACTCATTTTTGCGAGTGTACAGAGTGAATTGAACTTTAATACATTAAGATGAGATGTAGTTTGGCTTCTGGTTATAGGGAAACTGTGCAGTTATCCATGGAATGCTTTTTCTCATAGCAAGAAGCAGCTATTTAACACGACTCTCTGACTAGGTCAGAGCACCTTTTCAGGATAAATTAAGAATCTCCATGGGAAAAAGCAACTTTATAACTAATCTCAAATTAAATGTACTTCAACCTCTAGGAGGCCAGGGGAATCAGGTAAATTTGCAACATTAGTGCAGGATATAAAAGGATGCTAATAATCTGATCAAAAATAAGAGCTCCATGTTTATGCCTAAGACTATTCTCACTTTGCATAGTTTCTGAAGATCTCACGGCTTTTTACTTCCCAGAACATGAGAGAAAATTAGGAGTCTAGTTTAGCCCTTTTTATCCCTCCTCTATTGCTTCTCTTACACTACATCCCCAAGACTTCCCAAAATTTGGTAACAATACAGTTGGACCCTCCTCAACTATCCCCATCCCAACACAGTTCTCTTGTTTACCTTTAGTCTACCTTTTAGGTGGGTGTGTAAACACAATATATATTTAGATTATTGGTCTGCACAGGAAACTTTGTTTTCTTTGTTTTTTAGAAATCATTTTCTAAAATGAACATAAAAAAATAAATCCACAGAGCACCAAGTTGATCAGTGTTTTAAATGACGTATTTTCTATCTGGGTATTTCTGCCCATGTCATGAACAGAAGGTGAAAATAGCATTTTAAGACGTTTTATAAGTTGATTGCCCCATCTGTGACATTAAGCATTTAGGAAATGTCATAATCAGTCTAATGTCACCTGAAGGAAGTTGCTGATTCTTGTGTTTTTTGGATTGTGAATTCACCAATTCCCTCACAATTCTCTGGTTCCTTCTAATAACATCCACATTTTCTGTGCCTGTTTTCCTCATAAGGGACTTATAGTCTGAGCAATCAGACCAGACATCAATAAAACACCAGTGAATAAATCTAATTTCTTTCCCTTAAGGACACTTTAATTCAAAACCTGTTGTCTCCAAAATATGTATTTTTCTTTCTTACTGTCTTTTTCTCAACCAGAAAAATACACTGTCAAAAAAAGCCATGTAGAATGTGAACTAGCTTAATCTCCTTGGCAAGCAATATGGACACTTCTCAAAAAACTAAGAATTGAGCTTCTGTATGATCCAGAAATTCCACTTCTCAGCATCTGTCCCAAGGGTCTAATAACATTATTTTGAAAGAGACATTTGTGCCTATGTTCATTGCAGCACTATTTACAATAGCTAAGATCTGGAAATGACCCAAGTGCCCAAGAACACATGATTAGATAAAGAAATTTTAGTATATATGCACAGTGGACTCTACTCAGTGATAAGAAAAAATGGAATCCTGCAAGTTGCTGCTGTACAGATGAAACTAATGATGTACAAAAAACTCATGTGGGAATATATACATATAAATATATGTGTGTTTCTGTGTATATGTGTGTACATATATAGATATACACATATATGTATAAAGAAACAACAAATGGACAAAGGAAACAGAAATGGATTGTTAGTCTAAAAAAGCGAGCTTATCTTAGGTGGGTGATGGAGTGGGGAGGTGAGGATAGAGACATTTTGGCAAAAAAGTGAGCCCTCTTATGGTAGATGTGATGTTGGAACATATGTCTGGACCATGTATGCACAAAACTATCATTAACAGTTTTACAAATCATGATACCTCAATAAAAATGGAGGAAATATCTAATTTTTTGAGAGTCGTCCATACTGTTTTCCAAAAGGGTTGAACCAGTTGGCATTCCCACCAGCAGTGAAGGAGGGTCCCTTTCTCGCCACATGCACGCCAACACAGGTTGCTTTTTTTCTTTTGAATGTTGGCCAGTCTCTGTGGTGTGAAATGATATCTCATTATTGTTTTGATCTGCATCTCCCTGATGATTAATGATGTAGAGCATTTTCTCATGTGCCTTTTTGCCATTCGGATTTCTTCTTTGAGAAAATCTCTGTTCATTTCGTTGCCCCACTTTTTGATGAGATTGGATGTTTTCTTCTTGTGGAGTTCAACAAGTACTTTGTATATCCTTGATATCAACCCCTTGTAGGATGTGTATTTGGAGAATATCCTTTCCCATTCTGTAGACTGTCTTTGTATTTTGGTCACTGTTTCTTTGGAGGTGCAGAAGCTTCTTAGTTTAAGATAGTCCCATTTGTCTATCTCTGTTTTCACTTGCTTGGCCAGTGGCGTGACATCTTTGAAGATAACATTAGCTTCAATGCCATGGAGGGTTTTGCCAACTTTGTCTTCAATGTACCTTATGGATTGGAAAACAGTATGGACAACTCTCAAAAAATTAGAAATTGAGCTCCCATTTGACCCAGCAATACCACTCCTGGGAATATACCCCGGAGAGGCCAAAAAGTATAGTCAAAGTGACATCTGCACTTGTTTGTTCATTGCAGCACTGTTTACAATAGCTAGAATATGGACAAAAACCTGAGTGCTCGAGAACAGATGACTGGATTAAGAAACCTTGCTACATCTACACAATGGAGTACTATGTAGCAGTTAGCAAAAATGAAGTCATGAAATTTACATACAAGTGGTACTACATGGAAAAATATTATGCTAAGCGAAATGAGTCAGAAAGAGAGGGACAGACATAGAAAGATTGCATTCATCTGGGTAACATAAAGTAACAAAATAAGAGACTAACACCCGAGAACAGCTGTGATAAATACCAGGTTGTTCACTCCATGGCTTAGAGGCCAGCCACACACTCTAGGGGTAAAGCAGCTCAGATAGAAAAGGGAGCACCAAATAAAGGGTGCTGGGAAGATCTGCCCAGGATGGGAGATGGCTGCTGAAAGGAATCTATGGACCAAACATGACTGCCACCCAATGTCTCTTCTGCAGACCACAACACCCAAAAGGAGAGATAAAGCAAAAGGGAGTGCCCTGACACAGAGGCATGGTGGGATGGATGATAGGGGGGTGGGAGGGATACTGGGATTGGTGGGGTTGGAGAATGGGCACTGGTGGTGGGATGGTTACTCGATCATTGCATAACTGAAACCCAAGCACAACAACTTGTAAATCTACAACTGTACCTCATGGTGTTTCACTAATAAAAAAAAAAAAGAAAAGTTGTTCTGCTGCATTAGATTCACAATAAAGAGCTACAACATGGTCAAAAAATGGAGGAAATAAAAGAAAAGACAAATCTATGTAGGTGCCCCTCATGCCCTCAGGTGAATGTCAATCATGCCACTAGACCAGGTATAAGAAGGGCTCAGTCAGGATGTTGAGCCCAGTTGATGACTGAAATTGAGACCTGAGGGTTCTGTTTATTTGTTTTTTAAGAAATTAGTCATCACTATCATTTCTTGACCTATTATCTAAGATCAAGTGTAGTATTTGTTCTAGTCAATGTAATATCTGATACATCCTCTCTCTGAGGACAATATATTCAGTGGATTTTTGAATTTTGGACCAGGAAGTAGGAATAAGAGTTTTCTCTACCCACTTAACACATCAACCTGGTATTGCAGTACCTCCAGAAATGGTGCACAAAAGAGAGAGAGAAAGAGAGAGAGAGAGAAAGAGAGAGAGAGACAAAGTTATTAGATCACTAATACACTTGAGTAGGCGTTTGAGGGGATATAAGTAGTTTATGAGGTTTGTAAAATTTTTTCCCTTGGAGAATATTTCCTCTTTGTCTAAAGGATTCTGTTTCTATACTTAATAGAGGGAAACAAAGATAAATGCCTTTAAAAGATCCATAAAGATAATTTAAGCAGCAATGTAGGCCACTATTTGGCCACTGAATGAACATTCTTGGTAAGTGGTGATCTTGGATCAACTTTATATTCTTTCTGCACTTTCCTCCTATTAGCTTTAACTCAATCTTACTGAAACAGCGGTGTCTAGGTGATGAAATGAGTGATGCCAAATTTCTTATCATATTTATATAACACATTAAAAATGTTTTCACATTTACAGTGATATTGATTTAATATTTAGTGGTAAAATATTGCATAATTAGTGTATTTGAAACAAATCAATCACTGGAAGTGTGTTTATATCTTATATACAAAATGTTTATACACAAGATGCATATATATACACATACATCTTACAGTTGGGATACTAATAACACTGACAAAATCTTTTATTTATTAGGGGGGGTGGTCTGTCTCAAGCAGTGCTCTTGGAACCTGGATGCCATTCCCAGCAATCTTTGGTTAACTAGACCACACAGTTCAAGCTGTTGCTACCACATCTGGCTAGAATAGTGTTGGTCGGGGTGTGGGGCTTGGGGGCACCAGTATCACTCTGGTGGTATTCATAGACCTCCAAGGCTACACCTTTCAGTGCTCAGGGGGTGATGAGTTTCCAGGAATATGTAAAAACATATTTGAGAAATATATATTCTTATATAAATATATGTGTATCATATACATTTTCCAAATCACTAGATATTGGAAAAAACTGTATACCCAGTTATTTTTCAGGGAGTGGGGTGTGAGATGCTAAGATGTGCTCAGAGACATTGGGGTATACCATTGGTGTTCTTGGCTAATTAGATCTACAATTCAAAGCAAAGGCTAGAATAAGCTAGCATAAGCTCCTGCTCTTATCCTGCCATAGCAGGGGCCTCCAGAGCTGCCTGGAGTGCCCAGAAACCTGCAGGGTTATAAGGACAGTTCTTTATGGGGTCATGTGGGACTGGGGTGTTGAAGAAGGATCTGGTGTGTGTGTCTGTTTGTGTGTGTGTGTGTGTGTGTTTGTTTGTGCTCAGAGCTTACTTCTGACTCTGCACTCAGGGTTCACACCTGGAAATTTTGAGAGATCATATGGGATGCTGGGGATCACACCCAGGTAGGCCAGGCGTTACAAGTATTATACCCATTGTACTATTCCTCTGGTCCCCTAGAGAGGGATTCTTAAATGTATCCTATTTGCAATCCCTCTTAATAAGGGAATTACAACGTGGGATAACAGTAACAGAAATAACTTGAATTCATTACACAACTGATTTTGAATTAGTTTTTAATCATTGTGCAGTCAGTAACTTTTCAGTGTTGACAAATTTTTTGAAAGACCCCCATAATGAGTTCTGCAACCAACAGTTTAAGAAGCTAGGAGAGAGACTGTTGACCATTATTAGACAACAAAGCAGAGCAAATGAATAGTTTAAAGTTGTATTTTGGAATGGGAAATTGCAAGGTTATTTATTATCATGAAGAACACTTTAATTATGGAGAATAAAACTATCTCTGTTAAGAATTAACATCTAGAGTAAGAGCCATATATAAAGTCAAGATTAAAAGGACAGGTTATGTCAAAATAAGATGTGGGAGAAGTATTATAAAATGAACAATATGGTAAGTCATATGGTAAGTGTCATAAAGGGGAAAGAGGCGTTTCATATTATTCCCACAAGCTTCAGGATAAGTTCCAAAGGAGATAAGATCTGAATCATTGAAGCACAACACTATAAAGCTATTGGATCTGGTTCCTGCCTTGTGTGTGGGTTCCGGGGAACTGAGATAAGGTGGGGTCGATGGACACTCTGGTGGAGGGTGTGGTATTGGAATGTGTTTACACAAAACCTTAACATTATTAGTATTATAAATCATAGTGCCTCAAATAAAATTTAAAATATTTTTTGGATGTTGAGGTAATTACGTTCTTTATTTTCAGTTTTTCTGCTTTGTGGAATCCAAAGGAAAAGATCATTTGTTATGGCAACCAAAATATTTTGAAAAATAAAATAATAACCATCTAGTCCCCCTCTATAACTTATACTACCAGATAGCATTTTTATGGTTTGGAGATTATTTTTCCATTTATAGTCACTTTTCTATTAGACAGAAACACTTGTAAGTACATGGACTCTAGTGTATTGTGTTTCGTTTTGCATTCTTACATCCTTGAAAGGTAGCTGGTTAAAAATTTGCTCATATTTTAATAATTATTATAGTAACTAATGCATATTATTGCATATTATAACTATAACCATTAATTAATAAGACATCATAGATATAACAGAATTTAGATTTAGCTCTTTTTGTATTGGACCATTAAACAAAACAAAACAAAACATACCTGCTCTCCTCTATGCAGTTTAAGTAACTTGTCCAGAACTTTCCAACTTGCTAGTTATTAAATATTTTAATTTTCTTCAAGTCTCACTTAAGATAAAAACACATAAAAAAGGTATAATAGGATAAATACTTACAACTTTAATGCTAAACCAACTAATGGAGACCTAGTTTTCTCTTAGGGCATAGAGTTTCCAATTGTATGAACTCATGTTTTCTTCATGGCTTAATGTCCCCAAGTTATTTGTGTCACCTAGCAAGTTACAGAAAGGGGGATTTTATTTTTCTATCTATCCCTTGTGAAAAATGGCATTGAATATTCCATGCCAGTGGTCGAGCCTCATTAGGATAGGATAAGAAGACAGCTGTTTCAAGCAAGTTGCGGAAAGCAATTAAGTCAGAGACAGTAGGAGAAAAAAAAGTCTTTTTAATCTTTAACTTTGGAGTATCCAGTATTCTAATATGCTAAGTAGTCTTGTCAACTAATCAACTTTAAAAATCCCACTAGCATGACCACTTAAAAGAGAGCTTTTCATTAAACTGTTCCAAGAAATTCTAGGGCATCATAATGACATCTGTCTTCTTTCTCACATCACATCTGCCTCCTCTCTGAGTTTGAGATCAGAGTATTCTTTTTCCTGATAATCTTTCCTCTTAAATGTTGAAATTGACCTTAAGCAATTTAACTAACTTTTTTTTTTTTAAGTCAGGAGAGATTGGTGAAGCGAGTTTCTGAGTTTAATGAGCTCCCTATCCTAAGCATCTCCCCCAGGTCATTTCTGAGACTAGAACTGCGTACCTGTCTAGCACAGGAATCAATTCCCTCTCTCTGGCATATGTTGAAGTTAACACTGATTTTGGAAACACAAACAGAATAATGCATGGAAAAATTATAAAGTTGGTCAAGTGTATTTTTATAATAATTCTAGTTCTTCATTCCATACTCTCTTAAGTCCTTCCTTAAATTCTGCATGCACATAGGTAACTAAGCAACAGTGGTAAACAATCCCATTTGGTGAGATCATTTTAGATATTTCATCCCAGGAATTTGGAGTGAGATTAAAATCTCCTCAATAAACCTTAAAACCAATGAAGGAGTATACCGGAACTGATATATGCAGTGCTAACAGGAAGAAAGTTCTGGTCAACCAGGATGGGTGGTTAAAAGAAACCATTTGTCTAGTGTATTGTTCTATAGTACTCTTATTGCACAATGCCTCCTCACTTCTAGTCATGCGTATTTCAACTGAATGACCATTATTATTGCTTTAGGATTTGTCTTGGCCCTCAGTTTCTCTAGAATGCCTCCCCAGGACTCCCTAAAGACTAAATTATAGATCCATCCAGCAAATTCAATTCATCACCATATTTAGTATTCCCTTGTAGACTTATAGTGTCTTAATTTATTTTTCTGTTTTGTTCCTTATGGTCAGCAATTCTATCACGTGTTGTGATATAACCCAATACTCACTGAGTGGTTGAAAGATTACAGCAAAAAATATAAACATTATTATTAAAGAAGGTATTTCAACCAATATTGGTAAGGCTGAGATAATCTCAAAACAGTCTAAGCAATGATGTGGTCTTAAAGGAAAAACAGCAAGATCGTGTTCCTGGAAATTTCCAAAAAATCACCAGGAACTTTTGCATGTGATTTTTGCTATAGATAAGTTTGTTTGTTGGGGGAATACCCAACAGTGTTCAGTATTTACTTCTAACTCCCTGCTCAGGGATCACTCTTCTAAGAGTTTGAGGAAATATACTTGGTACCAGTGATCAAATACAGGTTGGGGGCATTCAAAGTAAGGGTCCGCCCCATTGCACTGTCTCTCCAGTTCCCATAAGTAAAAAAAAAAGTTTTTTTTTTTCATACAGCAAACTTCCCAACAGTACCTGAACAGGAAGCAGCCCCGCTACAGAGATATCAGCAAATGCTCCTGTCGGCCTTGCCAAAATGGCAGAACTTGTATGGAAGGAATCAGGCAGTACAAATGCATTTGTCCTCAGGGAAGGACAGGAAGTTGCTGTCAACATCAGACCCAGAGTACCGCCCCCGAGGCCAGCAGCCCCACCTTCATCCGTGTGCCCAGATGCATGCAGGTGGAGCGAACTCAGCACTGCAGCTGTGACGCTGGATTCCACCTGAGCGGTGCCCCCCACCTGTGACTGCATCAGCCAGAATGTGAACAAGTGCGAGCTCTATGAACAGGAGGGGCTGCTCGGGCTCTGCATGCATGCCTGCGTAACACCTCTGGATCTTACTGCAGCAGCTGCCCCTCTGGGTACCGGATCCTGGGAGAGGAGAAGAGTTGTGAAGATACTGATGAGTGTGTGAGTCCACAGCAGGTGTGCCCCCCAGCCCCCAGGGACCACTGGAGGAGGCTTCCAGTGCATCAGCCCACAGTGTCCCGAGGGTAGTAGCAATGTCAGCTATGTGAAGACGTCTCCCTTTCAGTGTGAGCGAAACCC